AAAAAAAAAAAGATTTCAAGAGGTGATTTTGTAGTATTTGACAAAGTTGAGTATATATTTCACAAAATTAAATATTAATTAAATACATTTTATTTTGTGACAGGCTTCTTATAACCTACAATAATTTTAATTTAAAACAAAAATAAATGGCAAGAATCGATGCTCATATATAGGTTATTCAATAAGGGAAAAAAATACTCTTAAAAAAAGTAAATTTTTTTGAAAAATATTAGTTTTTATAAAAAAAAATATTTTAAAATAATTAAACTTACTCATAATAAAATTATTTATATTAAAAAAGTTTAATTTAAAAATAATTTAGTCTAATTATTTTTATATTATTGTTATTTCTAAAATATCAATTTCTAAATCTTTATAAAAATAAAATTGTTTGAATATCTTACTAGAAATTACTGAATTATACTTTTAAATATATAAAAAAATCAAGTAAATTGAAAAATAGTTTACCGAAACTAAACTAAAAAGTATACTTCAAACAAGTTTAACTAAATCGAACTATTGATTCAGTTAACTATATATACCATTTTCTCAGCTATTTAAACTACATTCTTATTATATAAAAGATTAATAAGGGAACTAGCCATTGTACTTATTATCTTAAACTTATATATGAATAATTTTTTAACTCAAATTTACATATGATTTCATTTATAAATAATGAATAGCCACCAATATTTTATAGATTAATCTATAATAATAAACTAAGAAAATTTTTAACATTTTAAAATAGGAAAAAAACAATCATTACTGAAACTTCAATTTTTCCTAAATAAGAATATAGAAAGTGCTGTCATTTTTCGTGTAATATATATCTATGCAATCTTAATATGGAAACAAATCCGACAACTTATATTTATTAAGCGACAATTGAAAATTCAACTAAACGGATTTGAATTATTATCCACCTACTACTTCAGGAGTAACCTGCCTAAGAAACAGAAAATTCAGCACAATGATTGTATCACAAAATTACATGAACACAACATATAGTAAAGAAACATATTATAATTCTTCAAAACAGCTATACATGTCTTGAACATTTCCAAGTTCTATAAATTTATATTCCCCTTGCACGATTGAAATATTCAAATACTTCCCAAAAAATTCCAGAGCATCCTAGTACTCTGTTTAGTGACATGTTCTCATTCATCATTGTAAATAGGAAAACATCTCACTCTATCTATGAAAAAGATTCAGACAAAAACAGTCCTTGTTCAATGTCCAAAGTACTTTTTAAAAAACACCCACAAAAGTATTCAAAATACAAGATGCACAAAAGAGTGCGCAGTAAAGTTTGCTGCAAAAGAACCAATATTGTTCGAATTACAATAAACTTGAAATTAGACAGTGCCATAATCCCATTCTTCTTTAGGTCCATGGATAATTGCAAGGAACGTGCGGCTGTCGTACTGCTTAGTGATAAGACTTGCAAGAGTGCCGAAGTTGTTATAAGTGGCAGGGAGACTGACGATATCCTCAGGTGGATGCGTCTCATCTCCAGCGATAAACAGCATTCTAAGCTGTGCGCTCATGTCGGAGTAGTGGCTGCGAGGTAGGGTGCAGATTAAATCAGCAGATCCGAAAATAACTTCCAGTTTAAAGGTCCACCAAGCGGAGCCTGTTTTAACTCCGGCGTCAACGGACTTCAGGGGAATCCCAAGACGTGCGAGGGTCGGTACGTAGGTCAAATATTCAGCGAAGGGGTAAGCAGCAGCGGAACGACCTTCATGTTGAGTTCCTTCTGGGTAGGTTGGTATCATGATGAGGTTGGATTCCAGAGAATGAGATTGGAAAGAGCCAAATTCCTGTATAGCAAGAGCCAAAGGCAGAGGGAGTTCAATGTCCTTAGTGTAACTAGGGGCAGTAGTGTACCTGGTTGCATGTTGTCCATATGCAAGATTAATGCTACGTAGTTTTGCGTAGAGAGCCGTCATGCAAATGTCAGCAATATGCGGGACGTAAGTTGTAATCTCCGCGGTGATATCAGTAGGTCGCATGTCGCCAAGATTTTCATAGCGAACGGTAAGCACTTTGGTCATGACATCTTTGATAGAGTCACGAAAATAACGAACGTTAACGTTAAACGAACGCGCCGTAAGAGCTTTGCCTGCGCCAACTCGCCGGTAGCCGATTTCTCCTCGGTCCACAAGCTTGCGTAAATAAGTAGGATTGCCATCCAAAACTAATCGTTTTGTCAAGATGGGAACGAGCTCGTGAGCTGTAGGTTCTTGCCTTGGTGGCTGATCCGAACGACCGGAGACGACAATAGATAGGTCGATGGTAGGGTCTCCTTGGGAGGTCTCACCGGGGCCTTTCTTTCTGCCTGACGGGCCGTCGAAATCTGCATCGGAATGAAACATACCCTGTTTGGACTGCATCTCCAGGGAATCCTGTAATCAACCAGTTTGTCATAAAAAGCTGTAGAATGTACTTTTAGCAATAAGAAGAAAGTTTGAGAGTAGAAGACTTACAATGCGCTTAGCAATTTGAAGTGCTGATTCTGATGTGAACTGGCCTGATGATGTCATTCGAGCCCTCTTCCATTTAACATGACATGAAGGAGGAGAAGGGGGACTAGTCAAGTACCTGTACTACACATTTAAATTTTCGAGACAGAATTTGCATAAGCACATATTTAAATAAACTTATATATGTGTATGTGTTGGACAAACAAACATGACTTAGATTGAAATATTCTCATGTCTTCATCATGCTCAGTATGACTACCATTTACATTGTCTTTGTCTAGATTTAGGCCTCATCATCTCAGGGAAACACAAAACAGATTTAGAAAACATTAAAACAAAGTTGTGAATTTTGGTTTTCTTGAAAATCTCAGATCTTTTGAAAATGGCATTCCTTTCAAGTTTTGGGTTGAAAGGACCTAAAAAGTGAGTAGTTTTGAAAGATAAATATAAAATTTAGTGAAAGACACCTTCCAAGTATTCAAAACGAATTTTATATGCCTTAAAATAGGACTAAAGAAAGAAGTTTCACGTCAAAATTTATTGAGTCATAATCTAAGCTTTTAGAACTTGAAATGAACAAATTTTTGGTAAAACTGAACCCACTGAACTAAAATGTGTTGTGTAACTCTGATAGTCAATAGATTTAACGAACAACAAGAGTTTGGTGATATAAAGCTATGGAAAAAAGATTCTATACCAAAATCTCCCCTATGTAAAATGTTATTGAGAGCAAAAGTTAACCCTTTTTACAATTTTAGTAATTTTTATGTAACCTAAAATGACTATTTTTACCTTTGGTCATTTTTATGATAGTTTGAGTTTGAACTAACTGAATTTTTAATACTAGTTTCATTTACTTGTAATGTATTTACTTAAAGCTAAATCATGCTTTCCAATTCTTAGTCAGTTTCTTGCACTTGGAACTTTGAATGGGATAGTTGCTTCAACAAACACATATTACTCTCAGGTATCAAATGTGATCCCCTATGTGACAACCACCTTTCACAAAAATCTGCCTAAAATTCGGCAACATAACATCTGTATTTGTCCATAACCAAAATCTTAAACACACCAAAATGGCAAGGGTGAGTTCACACTCTCAGTCTTATAACTTAAAATGAACATTTCACCATAACATTCAATCAAACAATTTCTTAAATAACAAAGAGAGAGAGAGACTTTGAGGACCTACCTAGATTGCCATGAGAGAGACAACGATGGTGAGGAAACCAAAGCAGTGACTGGTGTGGGAGTTGCCAACGGCGCTAAACATAGAAGAATAATTAATATACACCACAGTGAAATTAAAAGTAACGAAATTATTAATTAAAATATATTCTTTAGACACAAAATATCCACAAGTAATGAAATTGTGTTTTAAATTGATTGATCTAGACTGGTGAGTTGAAATGATTATCAGTCCCAAATGCCACTTTAAACAGATTAAGGTTTTTTATGAGAGAGAATAAGATACGTTGTTCTTATTTTTATTTTTTCTGTTTTAAAATTCATTCGGGTGCCACACCATAGAGAAAAGAAAGTTACAATCAAAAGGATCCAGGGTTCAGAAGGGGGTTAAAGAGAATGAAGATGGTGAATTGATCATTCCAAATACTCCCCTAACTGTGTTATAAGCTGATCCTGACCTTGTTAAGGAACATCAGGGAGGTATACGTACATTGACTTTATCTTATTATTCTTTTTACTATCCTTTTTGTTGTGAAGATCATATGTATGCTTACTGCTGTTATATATCAACTATTGACATTCATGTACCAGTATGCCTAAGAAAAAAGGATTACCCGGCCTGGTGAGAGCAGCTGACAAAACTAATGCATAAGTGTTACCCTGACAAGTTATTTGCAAATGCTAATTCAACTGATGATTATGATAGTTGGATTTTTAATGTTAGGATACTCTACTCTCTTGGCTCTAGCAGTTCCTAAGTTCCTACAGGGTTGATCATTGCATACACACACTCTCTTTCTCTCGGTTCTAGCAGTTCCTAAGTTTCTATAGTTCATATATGTTACGGTATAAGGTAGAGGTAATAATAAGGGTTGGAAAGTATATGAGCAGAGAGAATATTTAGTATAAGTTAATTAAAGTAAATAAATATATATTTAGGGAAATATTCAATATAAGATATTTATAATTAAGGATATATGCTAGGATAATATACGGAGAGATATTTATATTAAATATAGGGATATTTATATTAAATGCAGATATATTCTAGGGAAATATTTAATAAGAGATGTGGGGGAAATAATTAGTATAAATAAAGTTAGAGTCTAGAGTTAAAGATATATTTTTGATAATTGAGTTTTGTAAAGGAGGTTATGCTCCAGGATAATTGACAGAGGTTATGCTCCCAATTATTGGTTGACTGAAGGAGGTTATGCTCCCAGTTAATATTTACTTGTGTTTACCAAGATATTACCATCAATAAAAGAGATTCATCCATCATTTGTCATTCGTTTATTGTTCTGTTACGTGTATGAGAGTGTGAAAAGGTTGTATTTGCCTAGTTTACGTACTCAGGTACGTAACAACATATGTGTCAGTAAATTCACTAGAGAATTCAAATTCAATCTAACGGCAATCCAAAGTCACAACAACTATATAAGCAGTAACATATATAACATACCAAACATTTAAGAATATTAACTGTAATTTAAATCAACCAAGAATATGTTGAAAAAAAAAAGAATTATTTTTGCACTAAATGAAAGAAAGAGAAAAATACCTTAGCAGAGGAAGAATATACAATTAATCTTAGCTACATCTTCAAAACTAACAGAATAAGATGAGAAAGAAATAAACAAATCCTAATAGAGGAAAAAGAAGTGAAATAGAGGGAGATTTATGATACTGGAATAAATTTTTTACTAAAATTTTACAACATGTTGGTCTGAGTTACACTAAACTTGTATTCTTCAAACAAAGTCTCAAATCTGAGCATTGAAGATAAAAACAAAAAATGATAAAAATTTGATTAGGAGAAAACTCTACTTCATATTTTCCAACAAATAACAGTCATTGAGCAAAGTCATACTTCGTGCCAATGTCATAATCATTCAGAAAGATTTAAAGTGTGACTACCATAGCTAGATATACGTTTCCAACACGCTCATTAGTTTAAACTAAGAACTAATCTAAACATTCACATATAATATTGATTAGAGAACTTACTTTTCTTTACGGGGAGATTTTCTTTTTCAAATAAATCAGTAGAGGATGTAGATGTGGAAGTAGAAGCCTCAATATCAGAAGCACGTTTTCTTTTGATAATTTCAACCAATTGTGGATATTCATTTTCTTCAATTATTTGAGAAATAGCTTTCTCTCCATGCAATCCGTGTGATGTGTACTTATCTTCATCATCACTTAGGTCCACGATCTTCTTTTCCAATTTGAATTTTACCCCTGCACGTACAAAGAATATGTGTTAAAACTTAACATTATTTTGTTAACATTATATACTTCAGGCAAAAGCTAGGACATTGAAGAGTAGTAGATTCTGGAATACAAGTAAAAAATTGGTTGTTTTCTCGGCATTTCTTGAAAAATACAGCCTCTAGCTCTTCAAGTAATTAACTACGTATACTTTGATCAAATTCAGAGCAGATACATGTAATTTTTTTTGTATGGATAAACAAAATGAGTTACCTTCTTTGCATACTTCTGTTTGCTCTTTCTTTTGTTCTTATTGAAAGAAAACATTTTCAGGAGAAAGGAAGAAAACACAAAAGAGATTACTTGCAGTTTAAAATTAGGACCCTCAAATATTATAGATGACCAGGATTCTACAACAAATCAAGCCATGGGTTGAACACCTGAGGAAGACAACGGCAACAACGATGTGTTTGGCTTGAGGATAAGAATGTAAAATACCTTAGGCTGGAAACAGGGGTAATTTGTCTGTGTTGGGGCCAATGAATGGTCTCACCTACCATGTGGATCACTTTCTCACCGCCTTACCTTGCATTTGCAAGTGGACATCTTAGTCTATGCTTCAAAAGTAATAAATTCATTGTGTAAACTTGGATGAACTTATTAATGATATTCTTACTTCAACAACAAGATTGGATGAAGTGAGGAGTGTGTGTTGTTAAATTTTGTCTACTAATTGTTGCAAACTGTGATGATTTAGAGTATTTGAATGTAATATGGTTCAGTCTTCAATTAATCCAGTTTCAGCAAGAATTGCTTGCCTCACCACACCATTTCAATTAATTTACTAAAACATGATTTCCACCAATAGCCATTTCCTTCAATAAATCTCATGGTTCAGGGCATAAAGAAATATGACTAAAGTATATCAATCAATTCAGTGTAATCATATTAAATATTTTTAAAGAAAATTATAAAATGTAAATATGTATAATAGATGTAAGAGATGAAAAAGAGAACAGAATTTCCATTTCCATACCTAATGCACCTACAGCATCCTCCTTGTTCCCTTTTTTGGGAGACTGACAAGTGCCAGTATCAACAGAGTAATGAGTATCTTCATCCCTTTGTAAAGAAACAGGCTCCCAAGTGTCATTTTCAAGCTCGTGGTCACTAACATCCTTTTCATCTTTGACAGCGAAAGAAACTCCAAGATTAGGCTCCACTTCAGTGTTCCCACAATTAGAGGGATCTTCACTCATCAAAGGCATAGTACTCTCTTCCAATTTCACATCACTGACAGGGAGTTTATTATATCTCCTCTCCAAAGATTCAAATAATGTCTCTGTCAGTTTACCATTTTCATTCTTCAACCCCTCTATGACAGTCAAGGACCTAGGTTTGGTTTTGGGTTAAAATGCCATAAGATCCAAAAGACGCAATCTTTTTTTGTGGGAGAAACTACCGAAGGAAGAAGGTGCTACTACGCTGCCTCCTCCTCTGGTGCAAGTAAACTTGCTACGAAGAAATGGAATTTGAGCTACGGAAAGAGAATTTGTTTTCAGATAAAAAAAATGAAAGAATAAAGGAAATTTCATTTGAAACGTACCTGCTGTGTTTTGATGGTGCTGGTTTTGATTAGAAGCAGCAAATCTTTGTTAACCTGCAAGGAATAAGCAAGAAGATGAAGTGAAAAAGGGCGGTAACCACGTATTGAATAAAAGACTGACTACGAAAAGAAAGTGGATTTGTAGTATTTCACAAAATTGAGTATATATTTCAGAAAATTAAATATTAATTAAATACTTCTTAATTTGTGACAGGCTTCTTTTATGCTACAAAATTTGTAATTAAAAAGAATATTGGCAAGAACCCATGTTCTTCAATAAGAAGAATTTAGAAAAAAAAAACTCTTAAAAAAATAAAAAAAATTCTAAAAAATTGATTTCTACATTATTTTAAAATAATTAAACTTATTTATAATAAAATTAATTATATTAACTTTTTTTTATTTCAAAAATATTAATTTCTAAATGTTTACAAAGATATAATCTTTATAACTTCTAAAATATCAATTTTAAATTTTTTACAAATATATAAAAATATTTGTTTCAATATCCTACTAGAAATTAATGAATTGAACTTAAAATATATATAAAAAAATCAAGTAAATTGAAAAGTAGTTTATCCAAACCCAACTAGAAAGTATACTTCAGCAACAAGTTTAACTAAATTAATCGAATTATTGATTTATTTAACTATATGTTCCACTTTATTAGCTAAACTAATTTAATTTCCAGAAACTAAAATAATTTTATTATCTAAACTACATTCTTATTATATAAAAGATGGATAAGAGAATTCATCATTTTATTTATTATATTAAATTCATATATAAATTAGTTTTTAACTCAAATTTACATATGATTTAATTTATTAATAATGAATAGCCACCAATATTTTATAGATTAATTCTACAATAATAAACTAAGAAAAATGTTAACATTTTAAAACGGGGGAAAAACAAATCATTACTGAAACTTCAAATTTTCTTAAATAAGAAAACAGAAAGTGCTGTCATTTTTCGTGTAATATATCTATGCATTCTTGAAACAAATCTGACAACTTATATTTATTAAGTAAGCAACAATTGAAAATTCAACTAAACGGATTTGAATAATTATCCACCTACTTCAGGAGTAACCTGCCTATAAAACAGAAAATTCAGCACAATGATTGTATCACAAAAACACATGAACACAACATATACTAAAGAAACATTATAATTCTTCAAAACAGCTATACATGTCTTAAACATTTCCAAGTTCTATAAATTTACATTCCCCTTGCATGATTGAAATTTTCAAATACTTCCCCCATAAAAAATTCCAAAGCATCCCTATAATCTATGTTTATTGACATGTTCTCATTCATCATTTTAAATAGGAAAACATCTCACTGTATCTATGAAAAGGAGCATGAAAAAGATTGAGACAAAAACATTCCTTGTTCAATGTCCAAAATACTGTCGTATTCCCACACCTTTACCAGCTGCACGAACACAACCAGGATGATCTGGACGTCCAATAGCAATAGCAAGTATATCTTGACGCCCGGAGGGATGAAACATACCCTGTTTGGACTGCATCTCCAGGGAATCCTGTAATCAACCAGTTTGTCATAAATAACTATAGAATGTACTTTTAGCAATAAGAAGAAAGTTTAAGAGTAGAAGACTTACAATGCGCTTAGCAATTTGAAGTGCTGATTCTGATGTGAATTGGCCTGATGATGTCATTCGAGCCCTCTTCCATTTAACATGACGTGAAGGAGGAGAAGGGGGACTAATGTTTGTCCGAGGCTCAATATCACATTCTAATGTCTGCTCTTCCCTTAATTTGATCTTTTCAGCCATTAATTTCTCCTCCAATACCTGATAACCCCCTCGAGATAACCGGTGAGGAGTATCGTTCTTCTTTTGGAATTCTTGAGCTTTTTTTCTCTTTTTCTGTATTCAATTATACACCATTATAGTTAATACTAATAACTAATTGCTACAATTACATTTAACAAAATAATAAATTTGAATTTACCTCCCAAGATGCAGTAGACCGAATCTCTACAAACTGCTTCCATGTATCCTCATTGATACCATACATACTGCATGGAGTCATTCCTTGGTTAATTTTGTCCTCATTCAAAGCCCATCGCGTGGTGAGATGGGTTTTAAAGTGTCTCCACAGGTTTGCAATTGAAGATAATGTCTTTCCCCTGACAGCTTCAGATGGTACTATCTCAAAGTGTGCCTACATATATAAATCAATTCCTATTTAATATACTAAATAAGAATAAATGCATATAGAGTATAAACAACTTAAATCAAGATTGCTTACCAAAATATCCTCCCAAAGCAACTTCTTTGTTGACTCCTTCACCTGATCCCATGAAGGATGCAAAATCGATACCTTCTCACGTGCCAATGCACCTAAATAACTAGTAAATGTCTCACGGTTCGGACCTGATGGCCTCCCTGTAGCTGCATCAATGTAGACATGAAGCCTCTTTTCACCGATACGTCTTGTCAAGGTCCTCAAACGTGTGCTGCCTCTAACCTTCTTAACTAAAACCTTAGTAGCACTGTGAGAAGAAGCAGGTGGGCTAGTCAAGTACCTGTACTACGCATTTAAATTTTCGTCACACAAATTCGCATAATACAGTTAAGTACATATTTAAATGAAACATTCTCTAACATGACTTAGATTGAAATATTCTCTAACATGTCTTCATCATGCTTAGTATGACTACCATTTACATTGTCTTCGTCTAGATTTAGGCCTCATCATCTCAGGGAAACTCAAAACAGATTTAGAAAACATTAAAACAATGTTCTGAATTTTGGTTTTCTTAAAAATCTCAAATCTTTTGAAAATGACATTCCTTTCAAG